CCATCCAAGAGCCCTTCACTCCACCGACAAATCTCACCAACGAACGCGTGCCCTCACCTGTTTTTCGTCTTCATCCGGAGCGTACAACCCTCCGCGGCCTCGAGCATGCACTGAGCTCGAGACCGCGCGCGGCCGGCTTATGTAGGGCTTCGCGCCGAGCCCGCTCTGCCTGGCGGCGGCGGCGGCCGGCGGCGGCGGTGCGTGGCCGGAGCTGCAGCCGACGTCTCTGCGGCGGCGCCTCCGCCGAGCTGATGCGGGCCGCTCCGGTAGCCGCCAACAGGGCAGCCGCACGTGCTCGGGTACCGGTCCGGACGTCCGCAGCGGCCGCGGCTGGCGAGCGCCCACCAGCCCGCGGCGTCCGGTCGGCGCATCTCAAGCAGTGGGTGCCTTGACTGGGGTTTTCCAGGCCTGCGGCGAGGGAGCCGGCCGGGCTGGGACGCCGGGACCGGCCGTCACGGCGGCCAAAGGTCGTGACGCGGCGCCGGCGGATGGCAAGAGTCCCGTGACGGCACGTAGGCCTCACGTACAATGGATGGGGGCCTGGAACGCACGGCAGGTGGCACGTCGCGGGAGGAAATTACACTCTTATGCGATTTCAGGTCCTGCAGGGATTTAAAGCTTACACAAATAAAATGTCCATGATAAACCCCGACCCAGCCTGCTATGTTCTATAGTTTACTACCTTCTATGTCGTTCTTCTCAAACTTCAAATCCGATCCGAAAACAATCCGTCGCAGCCACAGAGACTGAGTGATTTGCGTGAAGCGTTGCAGAATACTCTTGTATTCAACCTGTGCCTTTTGCCAAGCATTTAGTCATTACTCGGTCACACTTCTAAAACAAAATTTACTTTGCATCAGGTATTGCCTGAGGTTTGTGTGCGGTGCCGGTATTTTGCTTAAATTTTACCTGAAACTATTGATAAATAAATTTCTGTGGTTCGTTAGAGCCCACTTTGAGTAGTGCTTGTTGCGTGAGTCCTGGTCCCCAACTTATTGTGGAATTCAAGGCCAACAATAGAATTTGTCGCAGAATGTGAACGCACGCAAAACGTGACGTAAAACTCCGCACGTTCCGTTCCGCCCTCTGACGTCAAATGACCTTTAGCTCAGCAATCGGACAATCGCTCAATCGGAAAGTAACTGTTGGTAGAAATTAAGTTTCGCGTCATTCACCTGGGATTTGACAATGAATTTCATAGGATTAGGGGAGTCACTTGTCACTGCGCTGGCGGGGGGAAGGAAAGGCCGAACTCCTAATACTGACTTGAGTTTTGAACGCGGATGATAGTGAACGCAAAATGTAGATTTAAGTAGGGTCATAACGTTACATTGAAATGGCCAACCCATGTTCGTTTGGAATGCTCAACCTTTGTTCAGGACTGAGCAGCCGAAAGACTTCACAGCAGTCTGACAATGCGCGCTCGCGAGTCTGCGAACAGGAAACCCGACGTCTGACATCCCAGTCCCCGTAAGCCGCGCAGTTTCGGCCCGCGGCTAACACTCGACGGTGGCCAGCGGGCGGGTGACAAAAGACAACGTCTCTGGGAGAAGTACCTTTACACGTTTTAGGAAGTCTTTACTTTCTAGTCGTACTTTTCGTCGTACTTTTCGTCCTTTAGTCGTACTGTTAGAACACAGTTCGTGGTACGCGTCACCAGCGCAGTTTTCCAATATTTACAACAGGAACGGATAAGCATGTATCAAGATAAGTATATATCACGGCAGTATATCAAGAACGCCATGCACAAGTACAATGACCAACGCAAATGACACAACGCGACGTCGGCGGCACGTAAAGTGACATTCGACACTTGTGCTTAAGAATTCATCGACGCATATCCAACTGCTGCTATAAGGCTGCGGCATCGAGGCCAACATGGTGGGCCCCTGAACGATCGCGAGTGCCCGGCAGGCTGACATATAGGACCCCGGCCAGAGCGCAGGACCCTGTGAGAAGAGGAAAATTACCCAAGACCATTGTATATGAATTAATACCTCTGTGCGACCAAGAAAAGGAGCTAACAGAAAGGGCCTCGATAGGAGTGAAGAGTCCTCCGCAAATGAGATAAAAAATGAGGAACCCTAGATCAATGTAGAGGAGCCCTGGGCATCCAGTGGCTCTGTGGCCTATTTTATATGAGCCGCAGTAACAGCGCGAGGGACTCCAAGCAGGTGGAAAGAGCCCGAGACCAATCTGAAGGGCCCTGAGTAACTAAGTGCATCCTGGCATGTGGGGCCCCGACAAAACAAAGCGTACAGAGCCTTTCGGGCGATTGGGAAGACTCCGTGGAGGGCCGCTGATCGATCAAGAGTGCTCAGGCACGTTAGCAGTGAGTGCCCCAAAAGCAGGGTAGAGTCCCACGAGAAAATGCGGACAGATGAAGGCAACGCGGAAGGCTCCTTAGCGATCAGATTGCCCCTGCAAGTGGATATGTAAGGCCCCGGCAAAGCCGTAGCACCACTGAACGACGTGGTGAGCCTCAAGATTTCCCCGAACACTACCCTCTCAATCAGCGAAAAATAATTTTGTCTGCTAACGGGCTCTTCGCATTCGCTCGCAACTGGCCATGGTTGTCTGGAAACACAAATAAGCCCAATTGTGTTGTGCTTTGTGTTAGGAAAGTGCGTTCGCTCGGCCGGCCATGGGCCCCTTCGGAGCCTATGGGTCACCAGTGGGGCGCAAGGGGTATGGTTCCGTGATCCCAGTGCCCCCTCCCCCCTCTGGATCCGCTAGTGACCCAAGCAGCTTAATAGATAGACCCTCGACAAGAACATAGGGCCACGCATTTAAATAAGACGGACCCGAGACACGATATGGATGGCCTCCGAACGATCAAGTACTCCCCATCAGGCTAGCAGATACGAACCCCGACAAACGCATAGATCAAATGCTATCAGAGGTTACCAGATGGCCCCCAACAGGAGCGCAGGGTCATGCATTAAAATACCAAAACCCTATGTACAGGGCTCCCGGACAATTCAGTGTGCTCGAGCAGGTTAACAGATGGGGGCCCCCGACGAATGTGTAGGGCCTCTATTGAGACAAGAAGTACCCAAGACCCAGTATCTGGGGGGGGGGGGGGGGGCGAGCGACCGAATGTACCCAAGCAGGTTGGCAGATTGACCCCCGACAAGAACGTAGGGCCCTAAGCAAGTGACAAAGAATTGGAAGGACCTCAGACCAATGCAGAGGGCTTATGAGCATATCACGCATGTATCGGTACTTTAACCGAAAGCAACGTGAAGGGCTCCTGAACAACCGAGAACATTCCGGCAGTTTAATATATGGTGCCCCCGGCCATATCGTGTACAGCCTTTCGGGAGACTGGGAAGAACCCATGGGAAGCCCTGATTGACAAGCATATCCGGGCAGGCTAGCAGGGAGAGCCCAAGCACCAGCACAGGACCCTCCGAGCAGTGAGTGCAAAGAAACCAGGGGCAACGTAAAAGGCCTCCTTAACGATCCCATTGACTCCGCAGAGTTGACATATAGTGCCTCCGCAAACAGCGTAGGGGCTCTGAACGGCATAATGAGCCGTAAAATCTCTGCTTCACCACCCTTTCAATGAGTGAAAAATTATTTTTGTCTGCTTGTCCTTGGGCCCTTCACTTTCGCTTGCAACTGTTCTTGGTTGCCTGGAAGCCCAGACGTCCAATTTTGTTGCGTTTTGTGTTTCAAAAAGCTGCGTCTGGTAGGCCGACTATGGGGCTGCTTGTGGGGCTAACGGGGGGGGGGGGGGGGAGGGGAGGGGGCATGGCTCCGTACCACCCTCTGAAGCCGCCTCTGGCCGCCTGTGCATACCAGCAGCATGCCATGTTCTCGGTTACTTGCAGTAACCATAGGCGATGGACTAAGCAGAGGCCCAGGCGGCTCCCGGCTCCAGAAAAAAGTTTGAGCATCATGATACTGCATATAGGCGAGACAAAAACGTGGCGAGCATGCCGTTTGACCCAACTGAGATGTTCATTCGCCACTGGCATGAATTCCATACCGACATACAGTACCAGCCGTTCGCACATTAGATGTCCGAAGCAGCAGTGAGAATAAGAACTGGCCACACGAGAACTCGCCACCCTCTCGTGTAACGCTGCCACGCGTAGCGCATCACAAAATGCGGCGTGTCGCCCCATTAGCATGCCGAGCCAAATAGGGCGTCGCCGCACTGAAAAGAAAATTCAGCGATTTCGTCTCCCGCTCCCGAATGTTTTTTTCAGGCCAGTGTTTTTCCGGACAGGAAAAAAATCGCGAGGGTAGTAGCACAAATTTCCCTTCCGGGTCAGCACCAACAGTGAGGCACCATCGGGCGACAGACAGCTATGTTCAACAGGAACTAGTTGACATGAACAGGTGAGGTCGTAACAGCCCCCGGAAGTTAAAGGAATTTTCCACAGCCCTGACGCTGGTTCTCATGGTACTTGTCGTGTATCCCGAGCAAGTCTGGGGCATTCTATCATCGATGGATTTATTCAGTGTCCATGCCAAGATAGCACACCAAAACTCGTGTGTATTGTGTCAAGAAATATACAACATTCATGCAGCAGATACATGACGGCAGATTTGTAGAAAATATATGTTGTACAAGTCAAGCAGCGATGAAAGACATGGTGTTGGTCCCCATGCAAGTCCATGATTCGGTTGAGATTTGAGCAAACTCTTGCCATTGGCTGTGTCACACATGACATTTACTTCAATACACCAAGACATCACAAATTGCAGCAGCTTCACCAGGTGCAACAGCAATCCTTTTTTTGATTCTGCACGCAGGCAAATGAGCGCAAGCACACACCACACCATCGCATGGAGAATTCATGAACTGGGTCAGATCAGCGAACATCGCGTCCCAACTACCTCTCCCAAGAATTACGGCCAGTAGGGCATTCACGATTACAGACACAAAACGTTCATAATCTGTGGCCTTGTGACTTCAACGGCACTGACACGTGAGCTAGACGTCGGCGCCCCCTCGATTCACGGCGTATTTTCTCCTTGATCGGACACGCACGCGAAACAAGGGGTCACAGAACCGCGGCCACAAATGACCACTCCTAGCGGCAAGGACATATGCGCTAGCAGATCTGGCTTGTACTTTAACTTGATCAACTCCGATGGCGGTGAAGGTGTGGCAGGTCGCCCAGGTCTGTCCGCCGTGACGACACCCTCACCCCCAGAGGCTGCGTGCCGGCTGAGGGGCTCAGCCTGGCGCCAGCGGCCGGGGGCACCTCCCGCTCCGTCCGACCCCCAGCTACGGGCACCGTCAGTCCTCCAAGTGACGGCGGGGGTCGTGGGGCGCGCCCGCCCGCCGCGACGGCTGCCGGCTCGAGCCCGCGTGGACCGTGAGGAAGCGCTTCTCCGCCGCCTGTACGCGCAGCTCCAGCTCGCGCACCCTGAGGGACACGACCAACGCCAATGTCAGGAACACGTGACCGAACCACCACAGTCGGAGGGAAACCAAGCACTATCGCGACAAGCCTAGCAATCTGATTCGTAGAGGACAACCTTAATGAGCTTGATCAACGTGTAACCCAGTCTAAAAACACCGGCGGACGATGTATGCTGTTCACTCACCTGAATTTGTACCGTTTAACCTCTTCTTCAGACTCAAGCTCGCGCGTCCTGGTGTCCCGGAGGTCGTCCTCCAGTTCCGTGATTTTCCGCGCCAGGTCACGCTCCACGCTCCTCATTCGGGCCAGCTTCTGCTCGTGCTGCTCAGAGGTCGAGAGCAGTTCGCGGCGCCATCTATCGGGTAAAATGTAAAACCACAGTTGAGGAAACGTAGCACCCGTAATATCAAGATCTGCTGCTGCTGGCCAAGGAGAAGTTCGCGTAGCTCGACCTTGTTGTGCTCCTGGTCCGTCTCATGCAACTAGGTCTGGTTCAAACGGAGTACGTAATTCCGAGGGATGGTATATCCTCACGATGATATCAGACAGGACAACTATTTGGTAACAACAGACATCATATAGCCATCTTAAGACACGACAGGAACCTAACTAGCAGCGCCTTACTTTAATAATTCAATCAGGTACTAGAGAACGTACTTAAACCTAACTGCACAGCGGACTTCACACTGTGCCCTATCCAGCTTGCTCTCCAATGACTCTGAGGCAAAACAAATACAGTGAATCATTCCTGCCATTCCCATTCCCCATCGCTCCACGAGCGCCATTCAGGTCAGCGAGCGTGCGCGAGCGGCGCGCCTGAGGGCGCGGCTCACTTGGCAGTCATCTGCTGCTGGGCGGCGAGGAGTTCGCGCAGCTCGACCTTGGTGTGCTCCTGATCCGTCTCATACGACTGGATCTCGCTGTTCAGCAGCCTCTCCTTCTGACGCAACTGCTGCTCGAGTGAGCTGGAAACACGGCCGGCCATCTCGTACTTTGCAAGCAGGCGTCACGGAATACAACGCGATACAAATCCATTTCAAGCACGGGCCCACGAAGTAGAGCACGAATGAGCTGAGTCACATCACCGCCAACCGACAGCGTGCGTTTGGTTCCCAGTATTGTCAGACGGTCCGACAGCTTGAGTCTGGTTCCCAGCATCGTCACAAAGTCTGACAGCCTGAGTTTGGCTCACAGTATTAACAGGCGGTCTAAGAGCGTGTGCTTGGTTCCCAGTATTGCCAGACAGTCTGACAGCGTGAGCTAAGTTCCCAGAATGGTCAGACAGCCCGACAGTGAGTTTGGTTCCCAGTATTGCCAGTCTGGCCAAACGCCACTCAGGCGGGATTTTCTTTGCAATTTGCAACACTGCAAACCTACTTACATTACATGATTAATGCACAGGTAAGTGGCTGGTGAAAATTGCCGCACCAAGCAGGAGCCATGACGAAAAATATTGATTAACATATACAAAATATTTTGGTTCCCGTCGGCAAACTTGTAACACTGGCGCTCTGTACAGGTGGTAGCTGGTGTGATCTTAGGCTCCGCCACCCATATGTCATCAGGATCGCACAACATCAGGTGCGGACGGATGTCCAAACCAATGCGTCATGAAGACCAAGGCCCTGTCCAGGCCCCGACCACCTCCATAAGCCTCGGTCTCGCACGCCCGCCGCCCGCCTGCGCCCGGGTCGGTCGGTAGGACGCGGGCCCGATCGGCCCACAAGCCACGCCCTGTCCCCCAGCCAGTCTGACGGACGGGTGTCGCCCCACCTGACGGCGCGCTCCAGCACGCGGCGCCGCTCGGTCGCCGCCGCCAGCTCCACCTCGTGCTCGGCGCGGGCGGCCGCCAGCTGCTCTGTCAGCGCACTCTTTTGGTCCAGCAGCGCATCGCAGGTGCCGTTCAGCTCCAACAGGCGGCGCCGCTGCTCGGCCGCGTCCTCGGCCAGCCGTTCCAGCTCGATCTCATGCCTGCCAGAGGCATTGTACTCAACACTTTGCACTTGTGAGCGCCCTATCACGCAGTCAGTTTTTGCGCTTATCTCCAGCAATGGATCACCGACTCAATGAATGAACACAATAACACCATGCAACGCTGGAATTCTTAGTCTATGAACGCATTTTCCCTCATATTTTTGCCCCCTCCGTTATGCGCGGCTGCATGACGAAGTTTTTGTTTGACATCGCACCGACATCTGTGGTACATATGTCCCCATCTGCACAGCATTAACAAAGCATGCACTAATGAGCCTGGAACATCACCAAATGCAAGTCAACGCGATACGCCCCCTCCCCTCCTCCTCGCCCTTTCGCCGCGGCCGATGCCGTGGGACGGTACTCACCTGGCCTCGGAGCTTTTCAGCTTCCTAGTAAGGTCAGCAGCGGCCCGCTCCGCCAGGTCACGCGCCTCCTCCAGTCGCGCCAGCCGAGCAGTCAGCTCCTCCAGCGCTCCCGACTCCAGCCCGCCGGCCCCGCATTTGGCGTGTTCCGCCTGGGGGCACGGTCATACGGTCCGTCACATGTACTGTAGGTCACACGGTTCGTCACATGTACTGTAGGTCACACGGTCCGTCACATGTACTGTAGGTCACACGGCTGTCACATGCACTGCAGGTCACAAGGTCCGTCATATGCACCGCAGGTCACACAGTCCATCACATGCACTGCAGGTCACACGGTCCGTCACATGCACTGCAGGTCACACGGTCCGTCACATGCACTGCAGGTCACACGGTCCGTCACACGCGCTCCGCTTGCGTCGCTGTCACGCAGTTCGGCACACAAGTTCCGCCTACCGCACGGTAACACGGTCCATCAAATGTGTTTCGCGTCCGTGCTCCGCCAAGGGGCACAGTCACACAGCCTGTTACGTGTGCTTCGCATATAACACAGTCACACGATCTGTCACGTGTGCTCCGCCTGCAACACATCCGCTCCGTCACGTGTTCCACACTACACTGTGAACTGCAATACATTGCACTTCCGGTGAGTGTTCCTGGTTACTTATGACGGCCACAATCGGCGACGCCCGGTTCCCCGCAAAGGCCAAACCATACTTTATCATGCTATGCCCTCATGGTAATGCAATGAACTTACACTTAAGCATGCAAAACATGTCGGTCAGTGTAATTTTGCTGTTACACTTTGCCACTTTTCCTTTTATGCCTACTTTTTTAAACATTATTCATGAGCGAATTACTCAGACGTTGATTACAGTTAATCACATTAGCAGCGTTCAAAAAATTCCTCAAACTTACAACATTTCGAATTTTACAAACTCCTACAACCTTTCCACCTCGCGAAGGGCGAAAAATGTTGCATGAGATTGAAGCGTTCAGTCCGGTTCGAAACTACGGTTTTTGCTGCCAACGTGCCAGTGCAGCGTCCGCTGCCCGCGGAATTTATTGCGCCGAACACGGATGAGATCCCAATTAGACACGGCCTGGAAGGACAGGGCGGCCGTCCGCCCCCGTCGGAGATTTGTGGTCGGCGCTCCGATGAAATGGCACGTGAAAAGACGGCCGGACCGCTTCGGCCAACGAGACTCTCTGGGAATAATAAAAACTGATTTATCACGTTTCCAATGTAGGTCGTCCAGCTGGACGAAAGGGCAAACAGTTGCATGGTGTCATGCAAGATGTTATCTGGAAGTCAGCGGAGCGTCGCTGGCGGCTTCCAGGCTAGGGACCGTGGGCAACGGGGAGAAGAGCTTTGCCGAACATGAGAACACGGCAGGACGCGACCGCGGTTGCAGCACTAACACGGGCATACCTTGACGCGATCGTACTCCCTTTCCACGTTTTTCTTCTCGCGCATGAGCCGCTCTAGTTGCTGCTGAAGTTCAACCTCCTCCTGCGGGCGAACGTGAGAGTCACAGCCACACCGGCGCTTATGACATCGACACTGTACAGCATTTCCAAATACAGCCATCTTTGATAGTCAATGTGAAAAGCGCACAGTATCTTCGTTTATCACACCTGCGCTGACACTGCATCTCGTATACGTAAAACATGGCGCATATGACATGAACTGAGCGGAAGATGACAAAATCGCGAATTATATAGCTACACATTCTCGTACTCATGATATAGAGTAATCTATTCTCGTATTAATTACATGCTGTTAGATTGTGAGGCAATACTACAAACAAGGAACAGAACAGTTTCAACCAAACGTGAGCTGCAATGATAACTGCACTCCAGGGCACCTCTGCATCTCACAAGGACGATGCCAGCTGGCTGGTCCCCAATGCTATTCCACCACGGACAACAGCGGCCAATTTCTGGACGTTATTTCGCCCAAACAGCACACAGCAAAACACGCCGAATTGCGGTCGTTTTCCGGCAGCCGGCGACCCGCGCCCCGCTGTTATGCCAGGCACGGCCTTTGTACTTGTCACATGCCCCACTGGCTGGCCGATGGCGCGGTCCGTTCGCCGCAACCTGCCAGCCATCCGCCGTTACTTTCAGCTCGGGTTGACTCAAATCCCGTCAGGCGAGTCCAGCTTCGCGGATGGCCCATAATAGATCGCTGCGATCAAAATGGATTCCGCAACCAGAACAAAATGACGCCGGGGCACTTCAAGCAGCAGATTCAACTCGGTGTAAGAGGTCTAGCGTTTGCAGTCTGGGAGGGGCCGCAGACTGGTCCTCGCCACATGAAATGCATCGCTTGCAACGTTCACGTTTGAAATTAACAATATCCTGGAAACTACGTCGAGCTTATACCGGACAATTGGCGGACAGGAGCATAAGCAGCCGGAACATGTTATTAGAACATTGCTCAGAATACAAAGGTAGACAGGACGAGCGTTGTCGCGCAACGGCGTTAAATGCACGGTTCGATAACAATTTATCTCAACAAAATGTTCATGACCAAAATGAGCGCAAGGAAAACCCGCATGACAAACACGCGATTGACCATCAATCTCTTTCACTGGACTGCCAGATGACTAAACTTCAACACACCAAATACACTTGCGCCGAGTCGTGGAAGACGCAATTTCTCCCTAGTTCAAACCGTTCAAAAGACCCCGAAAAACTCATCTAAAGTAAGCGTGCAATTATCCTAGCACTCTCTGCAGCCAGACAGCGGTAGATGAGAAAAAGTCGTACGCAGGCGGCGCCGCGGCCTGCGTACGCAGGCGGCGCCGCGGCCAGCCTGTTTACTGAACGCAGCTGATGGGCGCCCTATTGCGGGTCGGCTGCTGGCGCCGGCGTTACAAGTGGTCGTCAAAGCCGGTGCGGCTATCCGCAACGCATGCTCCCTTCTCCCAGCTGGTGCGCCTAGTACGGCCGAAAGGAGCACCTCGTCCGGCGCCGTCCGGTCCGCCTGGCGTCGCAGCCCCTACCCCTCACGCCCTGTTGCCGGCCGGACACCCATGGGTGAGGGGTGGGGGGGGGGGGGGGGGCGGCGACCTGGGCCGGAGGCGAAGGTCGATCATGGCGTGACGGGCGCCGAGGCCGGTCAGCCGACCCCTAATCACGGCGGCCGGATCAGGCGGGCGCGCTCCGGGCGGGTGGGGCGGCCGGCAGCCGGCGGCCGGCGACCCAGCCCGGCATCATACGCCGCCCGGATAACAAGCGCGGCTCGGCCGCGGCACGCACCGAGCGTCCGGCCCGGCAGCGCCGGCCCCACACCGAACGCCAGCCAGCGACCCCACGCCGTGGCGGCGGCGCGACCGCTGGCGCTCGCCCTTGCTCGTCCGACCGCCGAATTATGATGTCCATTCGTGTTGCGTGATCTGACTCCAAGTTCGCACTACTAGCGGCGCGACCTTCATCCTTGGTAGGTCATCGAGACTTCAGCATCATAACTAAAGCGCTTAATAAAGTGGATACGACGTAATGATCGCAGCAGGCAACCATCAACGCGGCTTGTTAACGGCTACATCTGTGTTACGTTCGGTTGTGTGCGCGTTCAGCTAGTCCTAAGCTGTAAATGCATTGCATATGGATTGGAAAGGGTAGATGAGTACTTTTACCGTAGGATACACCCAAACTTTCTTTTTACGCAACACCTACAGTATTCAAGTTGATTCTGCAGACCTGGCGGCTGCCGCTTCCCACCCTCCCCCCTCCCTGTGCATGGGCCACGAAGGCTTCTGTGTGATTATCTTTAATGGGCTGGAGGGACTGAAGTGCGCGCGAGTCACCAAGTTGGAGTACGAGGTTTCAGCACCGTCGTTTAGGTCTCAACTGAAAAGGGACGAGGACATGTCGTGCGGTATACATCCGCGCGCACTTCCCACCTCATAACCGCATCTATCGTACCCAAGCATGCGCACTCCCTCATCTACGCGAGATTGGATCCTTCCACCCAAATCTATAATTCAAAAATGATCCTGGCCAGTATCATAACCGGTATCCAGGCCCGTCACGTCTGCTGACTTCGGCTTTTAAAGTGCTGAAAACAACGGCAAACGGGCGAGGAAGAGTGCACACGACACACATGCGACAAGCCAACTCATGCCAGTTTGTACAATGCTCGCATGCACATCGTATGCCGCTGACGCAGCCCGTGGCACCACAGCACGCAGCCCGCTGTCGCTCGGCGCGGCCGGTACGCCGCCCGCCGCCGCCACCGGTCTTACTGAGTCGCGCGCCTGCAGCCGCTCGGCCATCTCCGCCAGCCGCTTGTTGCACTGTTCGCGGACGGCGTCGACCTCGCGCTTGGTGCGCAGGCCGGCCTCGTCCGCCAGCCGGCCGAGCGACGCCTCCAGCTCCGCGATGTCGCCTGTCGTGCGAGGGCGGCGCCGGGAGTCAGCCGTCGGCGTGCTCGCGCTGGCGGGCGGCTGGTTAGAGTAACAGGCGGTGAGTGTTGTTACGGGCGAGGTGGTCGGCACAACCAACATGCAGTTTAGTAGAGAAAGCAGCCATGGCAACTACGGCTCAGCTACTTCCGGCACTTGCCGGAGTACAAGGGTTAGCCACAACACGAAAGCGTCAGCGAGAGGCCGACTGAGACGGCACGCGGCCGGAGGCGGCTCCACCTACCCTCGAGTCGCTCCGCCTTTTGCACGGCCTCCTCCTTCTCTAGCAGGGCGTTCTGCACCACGTCCACGCCCTCCCTCAGCTTGTCGAGCGCCTCGGCTTCGCGGCCGCTCAGCTGGACGCAGCGCTCGCGCGCTTCCACCAGGTCCAGCTGGAGGCGGCGCGCCTCCTCTGCGGCGCGCCGCTCCTGCTCGCCGTGCGTCTCGGCGTCCGCCTGCAGCGCCGCCAGCCGCTCCTCCAGCGCCAGCCGCTGCTGCGCCTGCTCCAAGCTGCGCTGCTCGGCCTCCCGCAGCCGCTCGGTGAGGCGCGCCAGCTGGTCGCGCAGCGCGCGGCTAGCCACCTCGGCGGCGCGGCCAGCCTCCTCGGCACGCGCCTGCTCGGCGGCGCCGCGCTCGGCCGCTTCCCGCTGGCGAGCCAGCTCGCCGCTCAGCGAGCTCACCGCCTGCGCGTATTGCGCGCGCACCTGCCGGCAGGAGGCGGCTGAAGAGACGCGGCACCAGCGGCCGGCGCGGCCGGCACACAGGCCGGACGTGGGCGAAGCACGGGCGGATGGGCTGAAGCGACGGCTGGTAGGCATGACAAGGGGGGGGGGGGGCGGGGTGACACGGTGAATGGGGACGACACGCAAGCCGACAGACGGGCCGAAGGACGGACGGGCACGGCGTAGTGCGCGAGGTCGGATCAGGATCACGCGTATCGGGCACCATCGCATGACAGCTCAAATGCAATATGCGATGCAGTATCTGCAAACGCAGGCGCTCGCCGAGAGAGCAGCAGACGCATGCGTATTGTTTCAAGATGCGCCATCAAAACTCAGAGACAAGTCGTTAACAAGTACATCAGAACTATTATCTCCTTCGCCAAACATGGTAATAATTTTTAAGCAATTCATGCCAAAATTAGACTGCATTCGTGTGTGATATCAACGTCCGTGGCTAGAATACAAGTCACTGCATCTTTACCAGCACATTTCTAACCTACCTGAAGCCCGCACCGCCACAATACATGACATCGGCGCATAATCAACTACTATTATTCGCAGCCCACGAGGAAATTGCCTGAACGCCCGTCTGAAGGAATAAAAGGCATGCACGTTGAAGAATGAGACGAAATATACGCCCCGACATCCAAAAGCTCCGCAGCTTTAGAGGATTAGTCACGGCACGGAAACCACTAGCTTCTACCCAGCGAGCATTCCTGGAGACCTCAGCTTCCATCTCTGCATCGGGATCACAGCACGTTTCCCCGTCAGGGCATCCATCAAACCATCGGCATTAAATGCACGCGTTTGCAGATACCGCATGTGTTGCACAAGCATCTGTCGGAGCTGTTTCTGGACAGGACTTCCTGTCGCAGTTGTCCTTTAACCCAGGTCGGTTTCCGACTAGCCGACTAGCCACCGACCCATCGGCTCACCCCCGCCGATCGCAGCCGCCAGGGAAGGCCATCCGATCTGGCCAGCCGGCCGGCCGGGGGGGGGGGGGGGCTGCTGAAACATGCATGCCCAAGGATCCCACCGGGGCTTTGGGACGCATAAATCCGTCCTCTTGACTGTCCAGCCCCATCGGATTCCCACACGTGATGACGCATTATCGAGTACTTGTCTTCATTGTTTAAAAACCATATCACGCGTTAATGCTCCACGAGCGTACATAGCAGCTCACATCATGCTTTTAACGCACTGGTAGTTTATGGAGCCATTCTCACGTCCATTCATCTGGCTTGAATAATCCACCGATCTCACATAATGTGTAACATGAATGCTGACCTACATTAACCATCTCGGCCGTAATTCGCGTCAGATTCTGAAAGACAGTTTAACGTCTGGCTGAATCATACAAAATGACCGAGCATAATGAATAACCACCATATGCCTGATGCCCTATCTGGAAAGTTTTGATGAGAAATAACACAGGTCCATGCTTTGGAAAATTCAAGATCTTGGGCAACCAGCTTTCTTCTCGCGATCCTGGGATCAATTTGAATGTATTTATATTTATTGAAAAAAGTTGGGACTGCAAACTGCGCTCTACACCAAAACACAACACTTATGTGCCACGACATTGGTCATTAGCCATCATGGCTTACTTTCCTAAAAAAACACGCTTTAATTGCGGCGTATAGGTATGTAAATTCTTTCAATTTTCAAGGCACAATGAACCGTTATTAGGCTCGTAACATCGTTTCATAGAACTACGCCCTAGTCACTCAGCCTCCCGTGCCGGGTCAGCTGCCCCCCCCCCCACCCCACCCCCCACCCACACGCACACCGGCTAGCCGCAGCCGGCCTTGGCACATTATTTCTTCGTGTGCCAATTTTCGTAAACACAATTCTCACGCACACACCGTAGCGCAAAACTTTGTATACAAACTTCTTCGGGCCATATGCATTCCGTTTCGAATGCCAATTTCTTCGTATATGCAATTCTTGGTCACGCATTTATTCGTGCACACTATTCGTATCACGCTTCGTCGCATATACATATATTCGCAATACCCATATTGTCCGCGTTGATCGGTATCACGTCCCTTCGCACATATATACCATATCACGTAAATCCATTAAAGGAAATGTCCCACTTATTTTGTACTGCTCGCTTGTTAAATCAGACGTTCACGATTTGATCAGTAATACCAGTTTTCCATAAATATTTCTGAATGGCTCGGAATTCCTATTTCAGGTAGCCGACCCTCCGAGAGAAATATCATTTGCTTGCTTTTCCATCGTGTGTGTTCCGCAATGTTTGCAATACACTAATGTGTCAAAATGTCTGTGCAATAAATGCTACGAAAGCATCAAACACTCTGTTTAGACAAAAATATATGCGAGCATGAAACTTATTCCGTCTGCCATTTTTGTGGAGCCCCGTTTGGCGAATTCAACGAATGGTTATACGATGACTTTGATCTCTCGCCAATGGCGTTTACCCGCGGCTCTTTTCGAGGCGCACTTTGGCGTTGGGGGCGGTAGTATCACATGATCCACCTGACTAACTGGTTCAAACTTCAACCAATCAATTTCTCGGCAACAGGCCCTTGTCCGCTGAGCTAATCACGAAGGTCTTTTATTCGCACCAGTAGAGGTGCGCATAGTAGTTGTCATGACCATGGTGGTAGCGACTGCAGGGAAAAGACAAAGCAGCACTGGAAAAGCGCGGACAGCGTGATTTGGACTCGTGATGATTTGTTTGGCTGGAAAATAATTAAAATTGATACGATTACTTTGCTGTGACTGTGTTGCAGTGGCATTACCTAGTGCTATGATTAGACGTAACTAGTCTTGAGGTTTCACCAGAACAAGTTTTTGAAATATGCCCCAAAGGTGGGACACTTCGATCAAATCCACAATTTTGGGGGCTGGAAGAGTTTAAATGCGCGTAAGTCAGGCGAGGCGTAAATTGGCGCAAATTGAACGATCCTCCCGCGTAAAGTGTGCTGCACAAAACGGTACGGATGGGAAGGGGAGGGTCTCTTTGTGGAACCGGTGTACATCTCCCTGACAGCCAATACCAGACTAAGCGCTGGTGGATGAAAACCAAGAACACTTTAGATGCTTAACGTGAAGGATTGGCCACACAACAAAAGAAAATAAATGAGCAGAGGAGCGCTTACGAACAAATGCGACGCAAACAAACATGATACAAAGCATTGCGTACACCAGAGATGCGGTCACAAGAGATGCACTACGAAGAATCGTGTGTCAATAGCGCAGCGAAGAAACACGCTACAGAAAGTGTGTGAATAGCGTAGCAAAGAAATGCGCTATGAAGAATCAGCTTTGCGGATAGTCATATTTCCGAAAGACGAAGCGAGTACGATTTGTTAACGAACAACCGCATTGAGAAAATATGCGTACGAATATTTGTCCGATGTTGTGAATATACGCGTCACGATGTTTTTCATCGGCCATTCTATGAGCGCTGATTGGATCGCGTCTAGCACGATTTTTTGTGATGGTCATCACTTAGTCGGTGCCAGTCCTGCGCTGCTTCCTTCTATAGCGAGCTCCCAAGAGCAGTGGCCGACACAGCTAGCATTTCAGGCAAATGCCGGGAGCATTAGCAGACTGCAGTGGCCCAATAACACCACCGCACTCCAACCACAGCCAGCACATCAGTGTTGCGTCCGCCGCACAGCCGCCCCTCTCCCCAAATTCGCCCCGCGCCGCCCACCAGCCCCAATGAGCCGGTAACCCACGCCGCCTGGCCGGGCGAAGCACCCCCTTTTGCCGGCGGCGAGTCGACGCGGCCCGCCTGGCTTCGTTCCCAGCCACCGGCAGGCGCTAATGACGACGCCTCGTTTGTGCGCCATTGTCGCGCGGAGCGCACCGAGCGGCCACGCCCCCGCGGTAACGAGGCGACGCCCTTTGAGGCGCGCGGGCGGCACGGATGCCACCCGTCGTCAGCGACAGCCCGGGCCGACGCCACGGCTCGACGCTGACGCCGTCGGCGGCGGCTGTGCGGAGGACGCACACGGCGCCCGGCATTAGTCATGAGGTGTTTTTTGCAATCGACCTGAGTGGTAACGACAGGGAAGGGCGTCTGTGAGCGGGGGCGGTGCGTTCACTCATGCGTAATGTCAACACAAAGCCTTTCAAGACGACGGGTATGCATGCTGAAAAGGAAAGGCTTCACGCTGACCATGAATGAGTTAGTGTGCCGTAGATCATCTTTAGTGATCTACAAGAATGATGTGGGTGCGGTACACATACAGAAGGGACATGACAGGTAAGACGGGCCATGCATATTACGACCGCCAAGGGCAGATAGACTGGTGCACGTACCTGCGAAGCAGCCACATCACAAACACTCATTCAGAGCTCTACGCGCCAATACGCACGGCGATTGTCAAGCGTAGCACATGCTCCAACTGATGCCAAGTGAGTTACTGTACGTCCAACAAGGGACCCCTCCAGTCGGTGTCTGAGCCAAAGAGGTGAATTATACCATGTGTCACCCCCCTCCCCCGGAAGACATGCCGGGCACATCCCCTAAGACATATCACCTTTCACATCACGCAAAGTACTAGATCAAAGAAGCCACAACAAACACATTAGTGCTCAAGCATTTCCCTTGGACGCCGAGGAGCCAGGGCCTTGTTGACACGCTCTACAGATGGGGGCAGAGCTGGCAGGCCGTGGGATCGTGACACACCTGTTCGGTGTAGCGCCGCCAGCGTTCGTCTGTGTCGTCGGTCCGGGCGGCGGCCAGCGCCGCCTCCAACCGCTCCACCTCCTTCAGACCGGTCTGCCACAGCTGTACGGCCGAGTCCCGCTCCTGTTGGACAATGACATCACATCCCTCAGCCCGACCCACCACAGCTGCACGGCCGAGTCCCCGCTACTATCGGACAATGACGTCACATCCCTCAGCCCGACCCACCACAGCTGCACGGCCGAGTCCCGCTACTATCGGACAATGACGTAACATCCCTCAGCCTGACCCACCACAGCTGCACGGCCGAGTCCCGCTCCTATCGGACAGTGACGTCACCCCCCCTCGGCCTGGCCTGCCACAGCCGCACAGTCGAGTCCCGCTCCTGTCGAACAGTGACGTCATATCCATCAGCCCAGCCCACCACAGCCGCACGGTCGAGTCTCGCTCCATCGAACAGTGACGTCACATCCATCAGCCCAGCCCACCACAGCCGCACGGCCGAGCCCCGCTCCTATCGAACAGTGACGTCACATCCCTCAGCCCGGTCTGCCACAGGTGCACGGCCTATGACGATGATGATTTGGGGTTTTAGGGCGCATCGACTGCTGAAGGTCATGCAGTGCCCATAACTATCAACTAATACAGAGCCACCAATCAGACAAGTGCATCAATCAGGTCACCCTACAAAGCCTTGATGATCAGGCCTAGTATCATGTTGAAAAGATTACTGGGAAATCTATAGCGCGAAGAAACTGGAGCACTTTACCAAAAGTCGACAGCGTGCGAAGAATCCCATAAAAAGTAGCATTTTTGAGAGAGATTTGCTGATGACTATAAGCGCGGAAGTGAAGACCGACGCGTGTGAAGGCAGTGTGAATGACCGTGTTGTGGATCCACACACAAAAGCGCACCCTACACCTGCACCCGTCTTCGAACCATCCGTATAAGTCATCATGTACCCGTCAAAGGAGGCCATGTGTTCTAATGGTGCGCCTTTAAGTTACGTCATGAGAACGCGTTGCTGCTGCATGCTTGATAGCAAAGCATCCACTCTTGGTGATGCTCGCTCCCAAGGAGCAGTCTTCATGGGTTTAGGTCTGATGACACGCCGTAGGTTGAGGCCGCTCGCGTCTAGAAGTTCTCTCATTCGTACACAAAAGGGAGAAGTTTGTAGTGACAGTTGACAGAAAAAAGCATTCGTAACGTACGCGAAAACACTGCTTTGTACTTGGGGTGATCTGGGAACTGCGCCAGCTTGCACGTGTAGCGCAGTCCCAGCATCTGCCTTCGCAAAGCCAGTGGGGGCTCGTTAGCCTCCACCAGAAGACGATCTGTGAGCGATCCTGTGGCGAACGTAGTGTAGCGTGATGCACCGTGTTCAAAGTACGTTTGATCAGGTCTGATGAACCGTCATAGATAAAACGGCCGTAGTCAAGTTTTGAGCGCATCAGGGAGCGGTATAGGAGTAAGAGTGTCCTGTCCCGCTCCTGTCGGACAGTGGCGTCACACCCCTCAGCCCAGTCTGCCACAGGTGCACAGGCCGAGTCCCGCTCCTGTCGGACAGTGACGTCACATCCCTCCGGCCAGATAATCACACCCAAAACGGGTGGGTGCCGCTCCTGCCGCACAGTTACGTCATATCTCCCAGCCTCACCTACCAAGTTAAAAGGCTGGCTACCATTTCTGTTAAAAATGGTGTCATATTCCTCGTATCTGCCAGCCATAGCTAAAAAGCTGCATCACACACCCATTGAACAGCGCTTTCATAGCGTTCATCTCTATCTACAATAGCTAAACAGCAGAGTCCTTTGTCAGTCATACAGTAATGCCTTGATCGACATCGCCCAATTTTCAACATATTTCAGTATATTTAAACTTTTACGCGTCACCGACATTCCACGTCACGGCCCAATGAGAAACGACCAATTTATAAAGAGCCAGAGAGTATCACTTTTCCGAAGCTCATGCCTTCACGCATGAGCAGCAGGATACAAGGAAACAAATGAGCATGTCCGTTGTAAACGCACTCTTAGCGAGATACTGCATCATAAACACCATTTCAAGACACCAAAACGCATCAACCTGTGAGTTTTTCAAGCCCTCATTGCATTGCACATGACCTGCTGACCTTTGAGAGGGCATCCAACTGTTGCTGCTGATGTCCGACATTCTGTGGCAACGGTGCAAGCGTGACCTTGCTGCTGACATCCCTGAGCTGAGCATTCAATGCCTCGTTTTCTGTGGTGACCTCCCTGACTTGTGTCTGAAGTCGACCCTGCTCTTCCTACCACAGAATGACAGTCATTAGAATGGGTGAGAAGTCCTAGCTATGTCTGGGGCAAACAGGCACTGAAAAAGTGTGCAAGGCATATAATATTTGTTTGCCTGTTTACATTTGAACAACATTCAGACTAATTCACCTATTACACCTGTTAATTCCAGCTGGCACAAAACAGGTCACTCCAAGGACTTTGCCACATCAAGCATGAAACAGATTATATAATTAAGGGATGATCCTTACCCAAAACTTGCTGATTTCAGTCTTCAAAGATTCTATGGTGTGTTCATACTCATATTTCAAGGGAGACAGGGCAGCATCTTTGCTCTTCACTCCAGTGCCCAGCATATCAACAGCCATGGAACTTCACTTACACTACATTATAAAGATTGAAAACCTGTCATTGCTCCCACTTCTGTGGGTCAGCCCAGCACCTGGAATGTAACAGATTAGAAGTCTGTTGTAAGCATTGTTGGCACAACACAGTTGGCTACTTTTTAAAAGTTGCAACATTCTAAAATATGGCAAACCATATGAACATATGACTCATGATACCAGTTTCTTACAACATGCCAACTCATGCAGCTCCAAAGTACATCATACATGATTCAATAAATGCTGCTGAGCTGCACTAAGCAGGTATTGCAATGCTGCAAAATAACTGCAGCACTGGAGCCACCATATCACTACATGTCATTAACATTAAATAAACAACACAAAATGTAGGTGGTTTGAAAGTATTTCAGGTTCCAAAAGATGACAAAATTTCCATAGATTTGCAACTTGCATTGATGGACAGCATGGACAATGATAGTGATACACACACAAACATACAGCCCAACAGGTTACAGGAGGCACACACGAGCTTAAATACAGAAAATTTGAGATGGCTCCTAAATCACTATTTTTTAGTCAAGCTGGAAAAGCATAGCACAGTAAGCGTGCATGATAGTGCAGTAATCTGCTGGATGTTGCTTGTAAACATATGAGTGTCTTGAATCAACAGTGCTAAAATCATGACATGTGCTAAGAAAGAATGCCTTGTTTGTATTCCATTTCCATCCAGTTACTAGCCCATGATCCACTTACTAACTTGGCACTAGCCCATTGAAGTGGAATGTGGTTGATGGCTAAGCACTAAGCTTTCATAACTTGAGAAGAGATATCAACATCTCCCACATCATTAAGCTTTCACAGCATAATGCTGTAGATGACCCAAGACTTTGCTATCAGAAGGCACAAACAAATGGTGAAATCAAGACTTACATAACAAGCAATGCTTCATATGGGGACTTATCTAACAAACTCACTGAATCAAACTTTTGGACTAAATGCAATAAACCAAGGATGACCAATGCTTCTATGCCAAAGATCACATATGAGGGCAAATATAGGTTTTTTCTTATTTTCATGCAGATTGCAATCCATAGTCCCATGCCTTTGCCTAAGGTGCTTCTTACACCTAAGTTGCTGCATAAAGTTGATTACCCCCACATCCAGGAATTCCTTGGTATTAGAAACAGCACATTTTGCTACACATACTTTATTGCAGCTCCAGCCACTTCCGAGACCATATCTGCAATCAGCAGAACAGCATCATAGTTATGACATTTTGAAGGCAAGATGAGGAAACCGTGTCTCTGATCGGTCTTATTTTATAGTAACTACCAGCATGTAAAACAAAGTCCCACGACGTAACTCCCACCAGCACTCCTAAACTTACCCGACATGCACTGCAAAGCTAAAAGGTCAAGTTGTAATCCCACCCCCAGAGCACAAATTGCTGCAAAAAAATGTTGCAGGAAGTAACGCACAACGGATCATGTTGATACCCTTGTGCTGCAACTTTGGTTTCACCTCCCGACACCCACTTGCCATCCCACCTATCAACTCACCACAACATGCGTGGAAGGCACACAGAAAAAATCACCCACCGACGTACTATCACAGCCTCTCGCTATCCATTGCTAAGGCGTACAACCTCCACCGCTTTGAAATTCAGAGAAGTAACATTTCCTTACAATTTGTATTTGGTATTCTATTCTTCTCACGCTTCCATATGAAGTATTTTTATGTGTGAAGTGTTTTTTGGACACCTTTTCCGCACCTTCGGCTATATAGATGTCATGTCATGACATTGGGGCTCTACGACTCACTCGGCTGCTGAGGCTATATGGCGTCGCCTGCCTCTCACCCTGGCAGGAAGGGCAGGTGCCGCGGGGAATCAAACCCCGTACTTCTGGCTTCCCAGACGCGCAGTGGTTAAAGAAGACGCGTTAACTACTACACTACCGGCATCCGGCTATATAGATGGGGTTTTAGTTTAACTGTGTACTGCTCCATTCGAGCTTTGCTTTATTTGAGGGGGACGCAAGTCGGAAGAATCTAAAGGTGCTTTAATCAAGTATTTCTGAAGCACGCGCAGGCCGCACGTGGTTCTCAGATCATCAGGCACGTCCTAACGTCAGGAGCGGCACGGCTTATATGGGTATCACCTCATGTACTTTTGGAAAGTGCCGAGCCCATAATACTCAGTCGAGCACCTGCAATGCTGCTCTAAGCCCTTCAATGCTAACCATTAGAATCGTCTGGTGATATTCTTTGACCATAAGCATGTAATCCTTTAAACGTAAAGTACGGACATGTATCCCGCTAAATAGTGTCCGGTGGCGGAGGGAGGGGGGAGGGGGAGGGGGGTACCGAAGCTAATGTTCTGTTATTTTCATGCACTGACATTGACCTTATCTGGTGTCACGCTATGAAAAAGGTTTGTGTTGGAGGCTGCCTTTTTTAAGTTAGCACAAGTTTGCGACCAGCCTTTTTTGAAGTAAGCTGGGAAATGGCTTCAAAATTGACGCTTAAACAAATATCTACGATTTTCTCGTGAAATTCGTCCCCCTCCATCCTCATCTTTGAGTAAAGACCCCCCCCCCCAAATGACCAAACGAAAACTTTGAATCCCGTGGCCCTCCTCGAAGTTTTTCTTTGCACTTTTTTAAGTCGTTCTGTTTTCGGAATGCCTTAACTTACTCTTTTAGCTACTTTTTGTTGCAGCATTTGTCCCCGTCACTCGATGGCCCGACTTTCCAGACCATGTGCATATAATCTGGGGTTCAGTCCATGTGTTAACCATTACAAGAACCTAGACAACACGCTAGTCCTTTATTCCTTTCCTTACGTTCCGAAATGATCTTTGGTGGTTTCGGCATCTAATCACTGTCAGATCCCTTCTGATTGATGAAGAACACATACAGCAATGGCTGAGGTCAGATTAAATTATGACTGGCCTCCAAACCATAATTCCATTTCGGCTGGACACCGATTTATTCGCATGTTACGGGTCAGACAATCGGCGAATTTCGTACCATGTCTCGTGCGTTTCTAATCCCGCGTATGGGTCAGTACATGTCGAGCATCGACAAAACCTTGCAGGAAATGAATGCATCAATGACATCGGCAATACAAAAGGAGGCTACAGTTACATGGACCTATACGGAGCCACGCTATTCGTTACATGGACAAGGTACCGTCGGCCGTTCGATCAATGTCAGCGAGTGGACATTGGGTCGCTGCCCGCACCGCTGTGTCAGGTCACGTTACCACTTACCCTGTTTATCAAGCCTTGTTGTCCGTTGCTAACCAAACTCACGTTGACTTAACCAAACGTGGTGTTGACGGCCCAACGGAAGATAAGACTAGACTTATATTACAGACTCAGTGCTATGTAACAAAGCGGAGGTGAAAGCAATTTTTGTTTAATAGGGTGGCACAACTCAAAATGAAAATAATGCATGTTAATGCATGTAATACATGTCATACGTATGTCGAGGGGGCGTTCACTCGGGCGCCACTATGCGCGAGCTCCCTGTAAATGGATGATGCTTCTGCCAGCGGCAAGAGCAGTAACTGCTGACCCTGATGACGCCACTTTATCCTTTTGAGGTGATTCCCGAAGAACAAAGTTGCGTGTCCTTAGCTTCGCTTCTAGCAACAATGTTCGTCTGGTTTGACATCGGGCAAAAATGACGTCATTTGCGGTCAACAGTCTACCACGGTTATGCACTGATCAGTGCATTATTCCCATCACGTGTATACCATATGAAACATTTGGCATATCATGACATCAGTACATGAGACATGGGTAGGACATAACCGCCCGGGTTCGAGGTATCTTGATAAACTTTAGATACTTTGGCTTTATCAATATAGCCGATCAAGTTTACTGCATATGCGTTTTGGTTTCGCAGTCATCTGCCAAGTGGGTCATTTAACAGCTGTGGTTTAAGTCCCTTGAAATCAAATCATTTAGTGTCTTAACACCCGCCCTTGGCCGGCTAGATGCCCTTCGCTCAGGTGTGGGTGTCAATTTGACCCCCCCAAGATATCTGGAACTAAGAAGCGCCAGAAGACACCAAATTTACAGGGTGTGTTAACCTGTACGTGAGCTCACTTAAGTCAAGTTTCAGGTTTATAGGTCAGGATCTTCTGGTCAAAACAAGGTCAAACAAGGTAAAGTTCCAGGCTGGTCTCAAAAGTGCCCTCAGAACCTAGATAACCGTTTCTAAGCAAAAGGTCACATGCTCATTTAAGGTCAGTGACCTTGATTTGACCCTAAGAAGGTCAAGGCGAACTAAAATTATACAAGATTGCCTTGAGTTTTACATTTGACTAAGCGACAAGATTACGCTAGACAGTATGACCCTTAAACAAAATGTTGACCTGTGTCATTTTAGGTCAATGACCTACTATGACCTCTAAGAAGTTCATAGACGATGTATAATGCGGTTCCTGCTATCAATAAATTCAAAAGTGAGCAACAGAACTATCTCTTAGCAGCAAGCCCTAGAGTAACAAAATAGGTTGGTTTTGACCTTGGTGTGACCTTCATACCTGACCTTAGGCCAATATAATTTGCTCATTCAACTGTTGTGTTGCCTAAGAAAGCACCTCAGATATAGTATGGCTTCAGTCTAACACTCCGTTGTTGGATCAGATTAAAGGATTCCGTAGCAATTGCCTTCGCTGAAACCATGGCCTGACTTTCAACTGCCATAGGTTAGCGACCTTACGAGGTGCATCCAAATTTTTAAGCCAAATGATCCGCTATTAAATTGCCTACAGCTACGCAGAATTTGGCGCCGCTATGCCGCGCCGTTCAGAAACTATTCTGGAAATACCTTCGGGGGGGGGGGGGGTTAATTTGACCCCTCATCCGGGCGCGTGTTAAACGCTAAGTGACATGTAAATGTATGACCATGACACAAAACGCCTCCGGAGATTACTGGCATCCTGATAGCTTTGACGGTAGTCCATGAGTTTTGCTGCTGCTTATCCTAGTACGCGTGCATTTGAAATTTTGCTGTTGCATCTATTGCATTGTACGGCGTCTATTATATTCCCTTCGTGCATATGTACTCGTTGCGCATTTCTTTTGTAACGACCCTTTGCAAGATCCATATCATGACTACCCAAGAATGACAAACTTACGCATCCATTCGTAATTATGTGATTCATCTCTGGTCTTATCATAGAATAGGGGCCAAAAATAAATTAAATATGCTCCACTTTGCAGCTCCTTCAGGGCTTAACGCATGAATAAAAGGACAAGCATCGTGTCCGAAAAATCGGTCGCACGATAAACATATTGTTAAGTGCACGTGTAGCCTACCTTCCATTATACGCAGATGACTAGTTTAACAACGCATTTGCATAACATAGAATCGACAGGTCACTTAACGGTCAACTAGCAGGGATCTTCGGCCCATTCCATCCACACTATCAACTCGTTCTGTTTCTTTGTCCCCTTCTGTCACGGAATTTTGATTTATAGAACAGCCTTCTAAACACACCCGCGCGCGCGACAAGGTCCGTTCTGCGTGAAGCAGCGAAACCCATCGGTAATGTAGCGTTGTGTGTATCATGCGACAGTGCGCAGAGGGTTCGTAATGTCAAAAGGAGGATGCCATTATGTTCAGGGATGGTGTTTTGCTTCGAACTTTCACGCTCGTTTTTATCATGCCCCAAATGATGTCCGAACTGCAAATGACCATTCATTTGCTTTGGGCAAATCCTATCAATATTCGATTTTTGCTTCTTGAAAAACGCACTGGATTGAAAACGCCCCAAACAGGGCACCAAATTTGACGAGTAGCTATTTGCAAATCGCTCACATGGAATTTCCACCAATCCTGCTAATATCGCCATTAAAATGTACGTAGACGACACATCGTGAGTTTTCAAATACCGCCAAGAGCTTGGAGCGTGTCACAGATCAACTCTGACCGTCGCCGCCGCCGTGATAATGACGAGGATCATCATGCATTCATTACCAATTGCTACATATATATATATATATATATATATATATATATATATATATATATATATATATATATATATATGTGTGTGTGTGTGTGTGTGTGTGTGTGTGTGTGTGTGTGTGTGTGTGTGTGTGTGTGTGTGTGTGTGTGTTTACAACTCACACAACTCAACATTATACAGTGTGTATAATGTAGTCAATGCACCTTGGGATCGTGCATATAGTCCCCATAGTCCCTCCCCAGCTTTAGGAAAGGCTTTCATACTGTCTTTGCAGCCGTCTAAGTGCTACTCAAAGCCCGAACGACAGATGTGTGATGTAACAAATGGACTTTACGTTACGCCATGAAACGATGCTGCAGCCATCATGAAAACGCACCAAGGATGTAAAAAACGCGCACGGAAACAAACGCAATCTACTTTGTAACTTAAGGGAAGTCCAGATACGAACATATGGCTCCAGGGTGGAGGCTGGGGAGGGGTCACAACGGCTAGCAGGAGGTTCCAGTACGAGGCCTCACGACATGTAAACGCTCTGCGCAACATGGGTAATGAGAAAACGGACAGCTCCAAAGACCCGACCACCATCAACCGGACACTCCAGGCAATGAAAAATCATCCTTTTGTCTAAACAATTCCAGCTTCATATT